AAAAAGAGAAAGATAGAGAGAGGGACAGACCTAAACTGCTGAATTTCCAGTTTCAGTCCCTGAAGTCCCAAGGGCCAACCTAGTCCCCATGGTTCTCCCTTCAATCTCAGCATTGTCTTAATACATCCACTTTGTTCAGCTTACATGTCCCCTCCTTTGGGAGGCCTTCCCTGATACCTCTAGGCCCAGTGAAACGCCCTTGCTACTGTGCTTTCAGAGACCCCTTTTTAAAAAAAATCTAGCAACACCAATGATCTACAAATACCTGCTATGTGCTGGATGCCATGCTGAGGGCTCCATGTGTTACCTGTATTAAAGCACTTAATAAGTTACATCACAGTAAATAATTTTATGCACATTTCTCCCACTAGAAAAATGAATATAAAAAATTTCGTTTAGCCTCCTTTGCTTAAGAAAGCATTTTAATTTCAAATTTATTTCAGCCTGTATATGTGCAAAAGGAGCCCTGGTGGCACAGTGGTTAAAGTGATCGGTTGCTAACCAAAAGGTCGGCAGTTTGAAACCACCAGTGGCTCCTCGGGAGAAAGATGTGGCAGTCTGCTTCCATAGAGATTTACAGTCTTGGAAACTCTATGGGGTTGCTATGAGTCAGAATTGACTTGAAAGCAGTGGGTTCTATTTTTTTTTTTTTTTTTTGTATGTGCAAAAGAGATTCTAGTTGTCCCTCAATATCTTTTCTCCACTTGTTCTCTGGTAAAACTACTCACAATTTTTTAGCTGGAATAAAGTCTACTTTTCCCAAGCCTGTGCTTGAAGTAGGTGTGGATATATGACCAAGTTCAGTTGAATGGGATGTAAATGGAGGTGTGGTTTATGACTTCCTAGAATTGTGTTTAAAGCAAGAGATAGGCCCCTCTAACCCCGTTCCTTTCCTTCTCCTGGCTCAAATGTCAACATGGTGGCTAAACCTGGAGCAGCCATCTTGGACCAGAAGGTGAGAAGTCATGGACTGAGGATGATAGAGTAAAAAAGACAGAAGGAGCCTGAGTCCATGATGGTCATGGAACCCCCACACCAGCCTTGGGCTGCTCACCTCCAGACCATGTTTATGTGAGTGAGAAATGAAGTTGTATCTTATTAAGCCACTGTTATTTTGAGTTTTCTGCATTTCCTAGTTGAACCTAATCTTAACTGATAAAAAGAGATATTGTATATTATAAATAAAACTAATATTTCCAGGTGTTTGGATAGACCAGTGAAGTTCAAGATATTTACTCTAATTTATATACAGATATGAGAATACCATTTCTGGTCATTTTAGTCAAAGGCCATGCTTGATCTAGTGATACTAATTACTCCATCGTGGCCTGTGATGTTGTCTTTGTTCATTAAAATAGGTAGCAGCTGTTGACAACAACAGGCCATTTGAAGGCAGTTGAAGCAAATAATTGTCTCAACAGAAAGAGGAGTTAGGAGAGTTGAAACAAACCAATTTATCTGCTCAGATTATAGAAGAGCTAGACAAACGGTTAAAAAAAAAAAGTCAATAACGAGAGTAAATCAGATTCCAAGAAAATCTATCAGAGTAACTATGAGGAAGGGCATTTAAATAGTCTCAAAAAGACAACCCACAGTATCTATCATTATTCAAGTCCAAATTTAATATAATAACGATAAATATTTAGACTTCACAACTTCAGCCCGGAAATAACCTTTGTACATTCTCTAAGAGTAGAGTTAGATGAAAAATTAAAGGGCAAGTAAAAGCTCAGACCAAGAAACCATGTGCTGTGGTTAACTGTGTGTGTGTGCTCTATTTTGTAAGGAATTTAGCTTAAAGGACTTTGTTTATATGCATCACAACAAATATGAAAACTCTGTCCATTTATAAATATATGAGTCGGAATGGCTCAAGCCAAATATGAAGAACTGTAAGGACTATTAGCTTTAATTTGTGGGGAAAAAATGAAGAATAAATTATTAGAAAGTTGGAACAAATTCTTGCTCTCAGTCTTAAAAGAAAAAATTGTACAACACTGAATATCTCTCAATGAGGTCTCATTATTTCACTTATTTTGCATGTTAGGGAAATAAGAAAGTACAAAACCTGAATTAAATATTTGTGCTACAATATAGGCCTTATCCAAAACACATGGATGCTACCTGATTACAAATGAGCCTTACCATTCACTAAAGCTGGTTGGGTGGGGTTTCTCCTGGATAATACTATATACTAGTACTTTGTTTAGGAGCCCTGGTGGCATAATGGTTAAGTGCTTGGCTGTTAACTGAAACGTTGGTGGTTTGAACCCACACAGCCTCTCTGTGGGAGAAAGACCTATTGATCTGCTCCCGTAAAGATTACAGCCTAGAAAACGCTATGCGGCAGCTCTGCTCTGTCACATGCAGGCTGTCATATGCGGTCACTATGAGTCAAAATTGACTCAACAGCACCTAACAAACACAACGGTACTTTTTATGAGTTAATGTATATTGGTTTACCTTTAAAAGGGACACACAGCCAAGGACACACAAACCATTCTACATTTCTTTTACAAATTCTGACCTTTCCCATAATCAGTATAACTAAATTAAGTTTTTAAAATTGTAAAAAATGCTTTCAAATTCCCAAGTAATTCAAATAAAATGGTTATTAAAAAAAAAAAACACATCTTAGAAGAGAACATTTCTAATTTATCAGAGCTTGTCCAGGGTGGTTGCTCAGGCAAGAACTTGGCTGATGTTACCTCACCCACACCAAGGCTCTGATGGGTGATCAAGATGACTTTTAGGACGAAAGTACAGAGCAAATCTTCACTTGGGATAATCCTGCATTGTTTTCTTCGGGCATTATTCCCCCAAGAAAACAAGCATTGAGCTCTTTTGTATACACAGCCATATACTGACAGATTGAATTTGTTCTTTGGGAATTAAAATTGGATCAAACTCAGAACTCCCATTCTTTGAAAGGCATAAAAGTTTGCATAGGGGTGGGAGGCATGAGGCAAAGACATCGTCAGTAAGATAAGCAGTGGTTTCCTTGACTGCATGACGTCTCTGGTTTATGCAATTCCATCAAGTGAAATTGCTGTTGTTGTTAGGTGCCATTGAGTGGATTTTGATTCATGACCCCACGTAACAGAGTTAGAACTGCCCCAAAGGGTTTTCTTGGCTGTAATCTTTATGTAATCTTTATTGATGAAGATCAAAGACTACAGCCTTCAGAATGGATTACACCTCAACATAAACAAAAAAATCTTCACAACTGGACCAATAAGCAACATCATGACAAATGGAGAAAAGACTGAAGTTGTCAAGAATTTCTTTTACTTGGATCCATAATCAGTGCCCATGGAAGCAGCAGTCAAGAAATCAAAAGATTCATTGCATTGAGCAAATCTGCTGCAGAAGACCTCTTTAAGGTGTTAAAAAGCAAAGACGACACTGTGAGGACTAAGATGCTCCTGATTCAAGCCATGGTATTTTCAGTTGCCTCATATGCATGCAAAAACTGGACAATGAATAAGGAAGACAAAAGAAGAATTGATGCATTTGAATTATGTCGTTGGCAAAGAATACTGAATATACCATGGACTGCCAGAAGAACGAACAAATCTGTATTGAACGAAGCACAGCCAGAATGCTCCTTAGAAGCGAGAATGGTGAGACTTCGTCACATGTACTTTGGACATGTTATCAGGAGGGACTAGTCCTTGGAGAAGGACAGCATGCTTGGTAAAGTAGAGCATCATCGAAAAAGACGAAGACCCTCAACGAGATGGTTGATACAGAGGTTGCAACAATGGGCTCAAGCATAGCAATGATTGTGAGGATGGCACAGGACCACGCAGTGTTTCTTTCTGTTGTACATGGGGTGGCTATGAGTCGGAACCGACTCAACGGCACCTAACAACAACAGCAACAATCTTTATGGAAGCAGATCACCAGGGCTTTCTCCTGCTGAGCTGCTGGGAGGGTTTGAACTGGCAACCTTTCAATTAGTAGCCAAGTGCTTAACTGCTTGGGCCAGCCGAACTGTAGTGATCTTAAAAACAAGCAAATGTGTTGCCTTCCCACCTTGTCTACACCTCTTGAGATATAAAAAAAAATTCAAGTTACCTTTCTCATCTGAGCCAACAATCCTTCAAATTCCTTCAGGTTCAGTGTAGTTCCACTATAGGACGCACAGCTATTTGCTGCTTTTCCCAGCCAGTAAATGGTAACTAATACCTGTGAAACAAAACCATGCACAAGAGCAGAAGAATTTTTTCTCAATAATCACTTTTAAACTAAGGAACTAATAATGTTTCACCAACAGAAAAGCAAAAAGGAGAGAATTCCAAGACTGATTTACAAAAACCACCATCCATGACGTATCCATTAAATGTAAAATCATTTTAATAAGAACCTAATGCTGTATCAGTTGACACAAACATGATTTAGTAGTAAAAATACGACTCCAGTTTTATGAGAAGCTAGGTTGTGAAAATGTGATCTGAAGACAGTGAGAAGGAAATCAAATCCTCCAAAATTATTTTCATGTAACAAGGTTTTAAAATTAGCAGCAAAATACTTCAAAAGTTCTTTGGAGCCTTTGCCAGGATGAGCAATAAAACAGAAATGTCAATTCCTTTTGAGATAGGTGATTGAAAGTCTACAATTTCTACCTGTGGGCACAGACAGTCCTGCAAAGATTGATGGTAAAAATGCCAAAGAAGTGGTAAATGTTAATTAGTGACTCTAAGCACAAGACTGACACAAGGATACCCACTAAAAATCAGAAGGAAGCAATGTCATGAAGAATACTATCTGCAGATACCTAGCTTTGAGATACAGTTAAGAAAAAAATAAATAAATGAAACAAAAATCAGTTGTCCTCTAGTTCATTCCAACTCATGGCAACCCCACGTGTGCCAGAGTAGAACTGTGCTCTGTAGCAATTTCAATGGCTGATTTTTCAGAAGTAGGTCGTCAGGCTTTTCTTCTGAGGCACATCTAGGTGGACTTGAACCTCCAACCTTTCAGCTAGCAGTCAAGTACACTAACTGTTCCCATCACCCAGGAAGTCCCTGGGTGGGGTACAGATTCCCATTAATTTGAGATGGGAAATTTTGCTGCCAGTCAAACAACCTTGGATGTTTGGGAATGAATATTCAATGGTCTGAAGCTACATTCCTAAGTTAATTTTGTTCTGTCTTTCCAAAGAAATGGTCCACAAAAGCAAATGTTCTTTACATTGACCTTCCCATATAACTCAGCAGGGGTCAGCCAAAGCCGAGCCCTTTAAAACTGAATTACAGGAGTCTGAAGTCTATGTAAAAGCTAAGGTTATTATTTTATTTTCACATTCTGTTTCATTGCGTCAACCAAACTGGGAAGCACTTGTACCTCCCTCCACTTGCTAAGCCAGCAAATGCTTTGGACAACATGATATGTATATATGATTTCAGATGGCAACAGACCCAAAATATGGTTGTGTGCATCAACACTATGATGTGATTTGGTTCTCTACCTCTGTAGGAAATTTTTACTTCATGCATCCTTCAAAACTTTTAGGAAGTCTTTATTAACTGATTGCTTACAAATAAATTTCCGGAAAGCACACTATTCCAAATGCCGGGACATTAACGAGGACCATAAAACAACTTATGTGCACTAAGATAAAAAATAGAAGTCACAGTCAAATTTTCTATTTTATATGCAGAAGGTCATTTCTTATATTCTTCAATTTAAATTTAAAATAAAACAACAGTAACATACTTGCCTTTTGAAAATTAGATCTAACTACAAAAAGCTGATTGGGGAAGTACTAATAAAATCTCAAAAGACTAATAGGAAAACAAAATTTAGGAAGTACAGGTCTACAACAATCAAAATTATCCATATTATGCTGATCTTTCTCCTAAAACAATTTGTTCAACTGCTTAATTTAATAATTCCATCTATGTCTACAATGGAAAGGGACTAATGTTAGTGTTGAGGCAGATCACTTTGTGTTTAAGGAATCAAATCACAAACAGAGTATAAGCTTCCATTTGATTATTTCCCGATTGAGCACTTAACTAATTAAAGAGAAATTCCCCAAATCTACTGTTTTTATTTCTATTACAGTCATTATTATTCCATCAGAGACATATGCATTTGTTTTCCTAGAAGGACTTTTTCCAGCAAGGCATATGAGAACACACAAGGCCTTGAATTTACGGTCTAAACTTTAAATTTGAACCATCAAAGTCAGAAGGATAAAAGTTTGGAAAGTGAAGTTACAATACTTACATTTCTCAGCTTTCTGCTATAATCAAGGCTCCTAGTTACAGGAAAAGGAAAAGAAAACATTATTAGAACCACAGTTTCTTCACTGTGATCATATCTTAAACACCTCTAAGATGTACCCGAAGCTAAGAAATATAACAAAACCAGGGGAATATATTATCATTATCATTGGTCTATGATTGGTGATTTCAGTTACCAAACAAAATTATTTAGAAAAAAAAATGTAGAAGGTCAACATGAGATTAAATTCCACAGTGCTCCATGAAAAGGTGAATACTTTGTAAAGTTTGGGGAATGAAGAAAACTGAGACTGTTTATACTTGTATTCTTAAAGCTTAACTGTTGAAGCAAGAGTCTGCCTTAATTATAGACCACTGACAAACTGAAATCTGACTGTATTTCCAAAATCTTCTTCATGCAAGTCCTTTTAACAAGGTCTGTAACCTTACTTAATTAAATAGAACCTGAAAAAAAATGTACACGAAGTAATATTTTCCAAAAAGTTGTTCTTTTCTGCTATGGACATAAATTCATGTTGGGAATTAGCCATAAGCAGACAAATATCCATGTATATATGTTCAAATATACACACAAAAAAGCTAGTTGGTAGTACCTTCTAAATTTTTCACACAGTGAAACATAATACTTCTCCAAAATTATTCCAAGGTTTCTTTAAGATGTCAACGAATAATACTAAGAAAAATAAACATTTCTCCACAATAACTTCAGTGAGGGGGTGGGCAGTGTAATTCTATTAGTATATAAACTAGTCAAGAATTCCTTCAAGTACTTTGCTATTGTTAGCTGCTGTGAAGTAGGTTCCTGACTCACGACCACCCCATGTACAACAGAAGAAAACAACCCTATGATTGGTTGCGGATTGAACAGTTGTGACCCACAGGGTTTTCATTGGCTGATTTTCAGAAGTAGACCACCAGCCCTTTCTTCCTTGTCCGTCTTAGTCTGAAAGCTCTGCTGAAATCTGTTCAGCGTTATAGCTACATGCAAGCCACAACTGACAGATGGGTTGTGGCTGTATGTGACGTACATTTGGCCAGGAATCGAACCCAAGTCTCCAGCACGGAAGGTGATTAAGAGAATGTTTTGATGTATCCCCCTTTTAGTAAAAGAAAAGGTATTTCATTATCTACTTAGATATCCGCTATGATTTTTTTTTAATTTAACAATGATGAAAACAAAAGATTTCAAAATTTTCATGAAAAACAAGTTAAGAATAGGGAACATAAAGCTTTTTCTGCAATGACAACAAAACTTCATTGACTAAAATTGTGACCCACTTCTAAAAATCATGCTTGGCACATAGTTAGACCTCACAAAATATTTGTTGAATGATTTCCACATAATAATTATGTGAAAATACTTCCAAATTTTTACAGAGACATTCAGGAGCACCCCAGAGCCTTTCCACTTTTCCATCCAATTGCTTTGGTTCCCTGGAACGATAGTTGCTGCATGCCCTCCTGGATTATGCTTCCATTTCCCATCAAGGTTTTCTGGCATCCATTACAGGTACAGTTCACTAAGTACACATGCCATAATCATTTGCAGGTTTTCACTCTTTTTTTTTTTTTTTTGCAGGGGTTGGGGGGCTTGGGAGGGTTACTCAAGTTGCTTCTCAAACAAAATGCAAGCAAAATTACCTACAGTGAAAGCTTAACCAAAGATGACTTTTAAAAGGCAATTTCAGAAAAGCATCAAAATTTCCTCTGTGGGATCTACTCCTATGCTTCATTGCTTACACTATTCGTTGGTATCAATGGAGTATTCTCCATCTCTGCTGATGTTCTGCTCACCTCTCAGAGCAGGGACACAGAAGTACAGCAGTTGTACTTTAATCTACCATCACTATAAAATTTATGCATGCCACAAATATCCCCAGTACAGTCAGTCCCCAGAACGACTTACGAAAAAGTTGTGAAGCAGATAGCTTATTTCATGACCCACTGACTCACTAAATCTAGAAAAAACATCTTTCTAAATACTGTAAATAAATTAAAGGCATAGTTTTAATATAAAAGTACAACCTACAATGCTGTGGACTGTCCCTCCTACCACATTCTTCCTGCTCATTACTCTTCAACCACACCGGCTTCTTTTCTTTTCCTTTTAAACATCAAGCTTCCTCCTCTCTCCCAGCTTTTCTACCTGCTCTTCCTCTGTTCTGAACACCCTACAGATCTTCTCATGGCTAGTTCCTGCTTCCCACTCATGCCTTAGCCCTCAGCTCAAAGACCACCTCTTCAGAGAGGCCTTTCCTGACCACCCTTGGCCTGGTAGCGATCTTTCATACTATTCTATTTTCTTTTCTTCTCAGCACTTATCACTCCCTACAATTACCTCCTTCATTTGCTAACTTATTTACATCTCATTTCTTCACACCGGTATGTGAATTCCATATGAGCAAGGGACCTTGGCTGTTTTGTGCCTTCCACTTATCTAGGGACTGCAGAGTATCTGATGCATAATAGTTGCTCAGTGAATATTTGTTAAATGAATGAATGAAAAACATCAAGATTATAGGGAAAGATGATGGAAAAATATTGTCTAAAGAAAATAATAATGTACAAGTGAAGGAAAAATTAAAAAGTAAAGAAAATGGGGAGAAGAAAAGCAAAAATGAAGATAGATGGGAAAATAGAATAAAGAGAGAAGGGAAGAAAAGGAGACAAGAGAAAAGGAGAGAAAAAGAGACAGGACAGGAAAAGAGGAAGACGGTGCACTAATTTAGAAGTGACTATGTCTGTGTGGCATTAGCCTAAGTGATTTTTTCCCTTTCTCCAAGATTATTTTCCATGCCTTTGTATTCTGCCCGAAGAATTCTCTGCCCTCAAACATGGCTCACTGAGTAGACACAGTTAACAAAATGGCCAACAATCCAATTCAAAGAACCTGATCACTGACACATCTGAGAAAACAGTTACAAATGTAAATGAAGAAAAGATTTCTCCACAATCTATGGCCTTCTTTGCATAATAAAGTCTCTTTCTTTAGAAACTGGTTGTCTCATCTTCCCAGATCTGCACTGAGCAAATTTTAGCAAGAATCATTTCTGAGAGAACATAGTGCCAAATTCCATTCTGTAGATGAAGAGACAGAAGTCTACTGAGGCAAAGGAACTTGGCTATGATTACAAACAGAAAAAAGAAGAAAAAGCCCAGTTTGTGGTAGATAAGCAATAGAGATGAGCCGGCTTCTGAATTTCTAAAACCAATTCATCTCAGAATTCTCCTGGTTTCGTCACATATCAATTTAAAGTGGCCTTAAAAATACTATGAATGCAGCTGCTGACCTTGTCAACGTGAACTTTCCTTCACCCTCCAAGCAATGTACGTGTGACCAATTACCTATGACGTCGCAAAGTTACTATTGTTTCTGGTCACTTGCCACCCAGGTGAAATGATGAATGTGAGATGAAGCAGAACCTAAAACAATTTCCCAAAACAGTGATTTATGGGGGCTGGATTTAGGTATAGTAATAAGTGGAGCATGCCACAACTAAGATGAGGCCACCGAGTTTATGGTGGTGTCCCATTCAAATATCCAAATATCCTCAATTTTATCCTGACATAAATGTTTTTCCATGAGAAATATTAAAGAATGGCACATTGACAACATAGTAGTGATTCTAGATAATCAATGGTGGCTGGCTCTGACTTATTCACAGTCATGAATCATAAAATCCAATATAAACTCCAAAGTTTATTACATTCAGTTTCAATTTTTCTCCCAATTTTTTTTTTTTTTAATCAAGATCAGCAAATAAAACTGGTAGCTCTGAATTTTGGCTTCTCTCCCTTTTCTGTTTTTCCATGATACAACAACCCTTAAGATAAACAAAAGGAGAAGAGCAGCCAATCTGAAGATCTATCTGTGTAATTAAACTTATTATTAAGGCATATTCATGTTAAATATTGTTTGACTAAAGTGGAAAATGTTTTACGTGAAATTATTACGGTCACTATGAGTTGGAATTGACTCGATGGCAACAGGTTTGGTTCTTTTGGTTTGGAAAGAACTTTTAAACTACAGTAAAGTTATTTCTGCCATTTCATAAGGACATTTCTTCTCTTTACTCTGGTCACGAACTATTTCTTTACAGGGAAGTACACTGCCTTTTCTTTTACTATGACATTCTGCCCCAAGAATTCTTTGGCCCAAAATGTGGCTCATTGAGTAGATACGGTCAACAATAGCCAAATGGCCAATGATCTATCTTCAAAGAACTTGATCAGTGACACATGAGAAAACAGTTACAAATGTAAATGAAGAAGGGATTTCTCCACAATCTATTGCCTTCCTTGCATAATAAACAGAGTTCAGATTTGTTTACCTAGTTTGCAGTCTTCCAAGAGTCTATTCAAAAGCCCAACTGGAGCCAATAAAAGGTTTTTGTCTACCACACACAGATTCTGTGCATATTTCTCTCTTGTCTCTCTGTTAAGCTTTACTTAGCAATTTTCTCCTTCTCCTTAAAATTCTAACTCTATGAGCATGGTTTTTGCACTTCCAAAAATTATGTTTAATTAGAATGAAAGCTTTGCATGGAGGGAAGGTCCATATGTCTTGTTTTGAAAGCTTCATTTTTACTTTCCTATTTTTATTTTACTAGGCATGTCCAATTCTCTACCTCTTAGACCTTACATCATCATCAAAAACTGCAAATCAAACCATACAGGGGTTTCCCTTAAACATAAATCGTGCATTACTTACTTGACTGCTACTCTGTTTGATGTATCCTGGAGGTCACTTGGGTCAAAAAGTTGAGATTCTTTAAGGCCGAGCTCTTTACAACCTCTCAAGAATAAGATGATATTGTCCTGCAACGAAAAAAAAAAAACAACTAAGTCTACATTATCTTAGATTATCTCTATAAAGCAGCCCTTCCCTTTTAATAACTGCTTCCGTAAAGATTGCAGCCAAGAAAACCCTATGGAGTAGTTCTACTCTGCAACACACAGGGTCACCATGAGTTGGAATCTACTTGACAATGGTTTTTTGTTTTGTTTTGTTTTCCCCTTTAATAGCCAAAATTGCTGGAGGGATGCCAGTCATTAAGGCAGCTATAGTTAGGTCTAAATCATGGCTTGTTGGATAATAAATTATACTTTGGTGGGAAATGCCAGAGTAAACAGACACTACACTTCTAAATCCACAGTCATGCCAAATTCATTTTTTCCCATTACCTTGACACGTATGAATAAAACTGCAAATCAAATGTCACAGAAAAGTCTAACTTAGCATCCATTATTTTAGCCAATAAAAGCCAGGTAATTACCTATTCCTTCAAAGTTCTTTGTTCATGTCTCATTGACTAGTGTTGCTATCAAGAAAGTAAGTTTTGTTACCCAAGTCTCATCTTTACCAAGTTTTTCTCTTTAACTGACCTTCTAAAACACATCCTTTATCAGTTGATTTTAATAATACTTCTTTGTGAACTATAAATTGAACTAAAATGCAAAAAAAAAAAAAAAAAATCTAGACTTAATCGGGAGAGAAAAAGAGGGGCATGGGATATTTTGGAATACAATGTAAAAGCCCTTCCTCAATGTGAAAATTTCTCTAACAGGTAAAAATTTACTATGAACTGGCAAGCACAACCGACAGCTAACGAGGGCTCTGGTCTTCATCTGTTGTGAGTTATTAAGAATGAACAAATAGCTCTAGAAGGGACTGCAAATTGCCAAGTCATCATTTTGGAATTCCAGGACTGGGCAATGTTTTATTCTGTTATACATAAGGTCACTGAGTTGGAGCCAACTCAAGGGCAACTAATAACAAAACAATTTATTACTATTAGCATATTAATGAGCACATATTGATAGAAAAATTGCTACAGTAAGGTTTGGAGCACTGGTTAGAGCTTGGCTGCTAATGAAGAGGTTGGCAGTTTGAATCCACCAGCTACTCCTTGGAAACCCTGTGGGGCAGTTCTGCTCTATCTTATAGGGTTGCTATGAGTTGGAATCGACTCCATGGCAACAGGTTTCGTTTTTGGTTTACAGTGAGGTTTTAATGAAAACTGGGAAAACATTTTGCCAATATAAGCACTAACCTACAGCTCACTACTGAAGTTTTTTTTTTAAAAAAAGGCTTTTCTTTCTACTTTACTATTCTTAAGAAAGTAGGTTAAAGATCAGTGAAGGATTTCGATATTTGAAGGCAATTTTGCTAAGTTATGTCAGGTGTTCTAAAATATAAACTAAATATTTGCAGCTAACATCTATTGAGCATTTACCATGTGCTGGTCTGTTCTAAGCATGTATGTAGATTATCTCTTTTATTCTGAAAACAACCATATGAAGCAGGCACAGTTATTGTCTCCATTCTACAGATGAACAGTTGAGGCACACAGAGGCTATGCACTATACCCAGTAACACAGCTACTAAGTCTGCCTCCCAATTAACTCAACACAGGAGAAGGAAATGAGGATTTCCAGATGTGAAAAATCTAAGTCAGAAAAGCAGTAATTTCTCCTCCCCGTCTCTCCACATTTCCAGGTGCCTTTTTATTCTGCCTTCCTGAAATTTCTATTATAATTCCTTCTTTTTTTTTTTTAACCTTTTCTCTTTCGCTATGATTTTCTCTTCCTTCCTTCCTTCCTTCCACCTCCTCCCACCACACACACACTCCTCTTTGGCTACTGGGCTCTGAGACTCTCAAAGGCACCACTGGCTATAGTCTAGAAGATTCCATCTTCAAAAAAGAGTGCACCCCTCACTTACAATTCCACACTTTGGCGATAGTAAATAAAGCCTTTCACTGCTTCAAAAGGCAAACCTAAACCAAAGACAGTGACTAGTACAGGTGTGTCTTTTCTAGGCACACACGTATCTTTCTGATAGGCTTATAAGCTCCAAAGGCTTCTTGCCCAGAGGAAAGAAAGGGATGGGTCCTGGTGCTCTCTAGGAATCAATCGGGACCACAGTGAAGGACCAGACCTGTGACCTCCATGTAGTCTCATAAGAGGTACGTGACTATGATGCCCCAGTTTCACAAGGAAGGCTAGGAGGTGCTCTTCCTATATGCATTCCCGACGCACACACACATCCGTGAATGCCACGCTATATTCAGCACACGGACTGCAAACACAAAAGCGTTGTGCTGCCAGCCAGCCTGAACAATTTGGGCTGGAAGATTTAAATGACTGCAGGTCTCCTTTCAGTGTCTTGCTGCAACCTAATGATGCTGGCAGGGAGCCAGAGCCTAACCAGGAGGAAAGCCAGAAGGAAGAGTCACCCAGCCAAGAGCTAATGAGGGCAGTGACTGGAGCAAGCGGGAAGGACTGTGCCTTTAATTACATAAACTGCATCCTGTAAATTCCCATCTGCCTCGCTCTTCACTCTGAGGTTTTTTCCACATTTATAATTCCAAGCAAGCCCACATCTTAGTGTTTTAACTTTGGAAGCCAAGCAGTACAAGAGTGTCTCAATCCCAAGGGAGAAGAAGTAGGAGATGCTGGTTTACTACAATGACTATTATAATTATCCCTTTATGTGGTAATACAAATCCATTAAGACTTAGTAATGCTTTTTAAAAAGAAGTTTTCAAAGGATTCTCCAAAAAGAGACAGGATGACCAAATGCGATGTATGAACTTTGATTGGATTCTGTCTCCAAAAAGGAAAAAAAAAAGCTATAAAAGTCAAATATAAATACAGATTGTATATTGGATATATCGGTGACTGGCAGTTAATTTTCATAGGCCTGATGACGATATTGAAGTTATGTAAGAGAATGCTTTTACTTCTAACAGTATATATGAATTATTTAGGGGTGAGTTATCATAATGTTTGTAACTTACTTTCAAATGGTTAGGAAACAAAGTGGTGTATGTGAGCGTGTGTGCGCGTGTATATGTCTGCCTGTCTTTGGATAGACAGAGAGATAAAGCAAGCCCAGCAAACAATTAGTGAATCTAGATCAGAGGTGGGCAAAGTTTTTCTACAAAGGGCCAGACAGTAAATATTTTAGGCTTTGTGGGCCATATGGTGGTTTCTGCTGAAAAGACTCAATTCTGCCTCTGTAGCCAGGTAAATAAATGGATGTGTCTGCGTTCCAATAAGCTTTATTTACAAAAGCAGGCATCAGGCTAGGTTTGGCCCATTGCTCTAGATGAAGGTATTCAGGTATTTGCTCTACCGTTTTTTCAATGTTTCTGTACATTTGAAAATTTTCCCAAGTTGGGGGAAAAGGTTTTCAAATTTTTAAGACTGTCTTCAACTACCTAGGGTTGTGACTTCACTGGTAAAACTAACTTCACAAAATAAAAAGGCACCTGGAACTGTGGAGAGATGGGGAAAAGAAAAAAAAAAAAAAACACAGTCACCTCAGAGACAACCATTGCAAAGTCATCGAGGTACATGCTCCAGAGGTACTGATGGAAAGTTACCATTTCTGGCTAACTGGAAAGTACAGTAACATGAGTCTTAATTCAACACAGAGGCATAACATCAAGTTCCTAAAAGAGTCTATTTTGTGCTAGGCTAATACTAATATAGGGATTTATACAGCTGTTTATATAACTACCATGCATTAAATCCTCCTTGTTCACAGCCCAGTGGTTTCCCATTTTGTTAATATATGGGACTGCTCTGTGTATGCAAACATTCCCCAGGGACCTAAGTTGAGGCCTGAGCTGGCAGCCCTCCCTGAAGCCTCTTACTCAAGAAGTCCTTGTATCTGCCTCCCTTCCCTTCTCAATCCTGGAATGGCCCAGGGCACGCAGAAGTCGCTTACTATTTAAATTACCTACTACTTGCTAGGTACTATTCTCGGTATGTACAATGAATAAAACAACAAAATTTCTTACCCTCATGGCACTGACATTCTAGTAGATGAAATAATAAGGACTTATCACAAAAGTGGAGTCCCTGGCTAGTGCAAATGGTTAATGCGCTCGGCTGCTAACCTAGAGGTTGGAAGTTCAAGTATACCCAGAGATATCTCAGAAGAAAGGCCTGGCAATCTACTTCCAAAAAATCAGCCACTGAAAACCCTACGGATCACAGTTTTACTCTGACACACACGGGGTTGCCAGGAGTCAGTAGTCAACTCAACAGCAGCTGGTGGTGGTGGTGTCACAGAAATATCTTATTACCATCGTTAGTCTTTTATGATCGATCGAACAGCTAGACTTGTTCAAGACATACATGAACAGAGGCCTGACTTCACATTAGACAATGGAAATAAAAGAAGAACCAACATGTCAAGTAGCCTAGCATAACAGCTTCAAGTCAGGACTTCAGTAAAAATTCTAACTTTGTTCACTTACTGTATGTGTGGTCTTGGACATAGTGCCTAACCTTTCTGATTCTCGAATTTCTAACTTGTAAGGCAAGGAATGCCATCAACATTGCAGGGATGTCAAGATTAGAGAAGAGATAGATTAAGAACACAGCCCACTGTCCAGCACCTTCTGGGCACTCATTATATCAAAGTTATTATGACATCCCTGTCAACTCAAGTCTAGAAAAGACCATGGAAAGGTGAGATAAAGAAACTTTATCCATGAAAAACAGACACAAATTGTACTTAGAGCACTTGCCAGTCATGTAGAGAAATAGTAAAAAAATAAATAAAAAGGTAGTTGGTGCTATTGTTATTGTGGTTATCCTTATTAACCACTAACTTAGCACTTACATATAAGCAGCCTCCAACTGAGGCGCAGGCCCTAAACCAAAAGTTCATTTGTAAGTTATTTACTTGCAAGTCATCATTTGTAATTATTCCACAGAAATAATCCTTGCACGGTGGTTCCCAGCTCAGGCCAGAAAGGCCTGCTTAATCCAAAATGTACCTAAAGGGGAGCACTAATTAT